TCACCTGCATAGTGTGAGTCATCTGGAGAGATCTTCTCCTGCGTATTTATTGGCATATCTTTTAAACTCTGAAATCGATCCTCAGTGATTCACTAAGCTAAAAACGGAGCAGATTTGAGACAGTGGATTGGAAACCGCTTGAGACGTGTATTGGAAGAGAACAGTTCAGGAAGCTAGGTGAATTACCAGGCTAATTCAGTATGACGTCGGATTCAAAGCCCAGCTAACCCGACTATCAATTACAGACGTAAATATCTGCAAGCGGGCGTGTTGATTGACAGCGAAAACACAAAAGAGCGCCGTTTCCAGCATGCTCCATTCAGCTGGAGAGATAACGATCTCCTGAGGCTTACAGCTCATTGTACCAAAGTCTGACACAGATACAGTAATCTCTGACTCTCTATAGAGATGAAATGTTGGAATGGCAGTTGTATTTATTGTGTTAAATGTGTTTCCCTTGGCGAGGCCTGCGAGGCTGTGCAAAGGTTTCGGACCGAGCCTCCTGGAATCGTTCAGAGCTCATAATCATCCTCTTTTCAAACGTTTTCTTCTTTCAGATGCATGAATGAAATAAACAAGAGACTGTAAAGGAGTTATAAGCATCAGAAGAAATGAATAAAACACTGTGTTGTGCTGTAATTGGAAAATAATCACTGAAGGGCAGCTGTAAACTGAATTACTGTTACCACCCAGAAGATGATTAGTTTCCTAAAACGGCACATCCCCAAGCGTTTTTTTTGTTTTTTTCCCCACTCTCCCACAAAAAAATTCAGCTTTTCATGTTACCAAGAACCCACAGAGTACAAAAACTTAGAGTTACAGCTTTACCTTTGACTGTTTCAGAGCGCTGACACTGGAGACTCCTTCCAGAAATGTTGCACGAGAGCCTCCTTACAGAAAACCTCACCGTATAAACGATTTTTAAAACCATTTATGTTGAGCGTCCACTGTACAAGTCCTGTGAATGAGCTTTTGCAATAGAAATAATAAATTATTAGAACGAGTGCATTAATATGAACCTGTGATTTGCAGCTGCACTACTGGTTTAAACCCTGATTTGGTTTATAATTAATAGTGACTGCAGGGTTTCCCAGCAGGTAAAATTCTTAAGAGATGTTATGCCTTGCTCATAACCCTCTAACTCTCCGGAATACCAAATCCTCAGCTCAGCTCTCATTCCCTCTGCAAATGTTTGAATTATTGAAGGCTGGAGCTCAATAGAGGACGGATATGAAGCCTGCATTTCTTCGCCTGCAGGCACTCGAATACATGTTGCACACATGGAGGCTGCAGCCAGGCTGCTGAAAGAAAATCCACCTTTCTCTCTTTTCCGTTCCCTCACAAGGGACAACGCTGCTTCTCCTTCTTCGTGTGAAGCTCCTCCTCATTGGCTTCTTTTCTCCAAACTTCAACACGTAGTGTCTGATCAGTTCACAATGGCTGGGAGATCTTAGGAAAATGGCTTCTGGTGGCATTACGGGCTTTATGTTTATTTTATCGTCAGCTTGTCAGTTTGCTGGACGTATAAAGCCAACTCACCTTTCTGGGAGATTATCGAGTGTTTCCCCAGATAAAGCAAACAAAAATGTTTTGTTAACCGCAACATCATAGTGAAATAAAAACTGGCATTACTAATTGTGAGAGTGCCAATAATTTTGAAGCCAGTTTTGTTTAGTGTTATCTTTTTTTTTTTTTTTTTTCAGAAAAAAAATTGCATTTCTTTACATATCATTGTCAATATGTTTCAGTTCCTCATGTTCATTTTGCTACTTTTAATCCAGGGTGCCAATAATTCTGAAGATGACCGTATGATTCTTTGATTAGAAAATAAAATACAGAGATTATAGTCATCTTACTGAAGAATTTGTTGATGCACAGAGAGCAGCGAAGATTTAACACCGAAACAAACAAAAAGATCCTGACCTGAGGCTTTTCACTGAGACAGAGATGGATGGATAGATAGACTTTTTGAGAGAGGGAGCAAGAGACAGACAGAGAGAAACAAACAGCGTGATAGAAAGAGATACAGACAGAAAAATAGATAGATAGATAGAGAGCGAGAGAGAGAAAGACAAAATGAGAGAGATCAACATAGATACATAGATAGATAGATAGATAGATAGATAGAGAACGAGAGAGAGAGAAAGACGCAAAATGAGAGAGATCAACATAGATAGATAGATAGATAGATAGATAACGAGAGAGAGAAAGACGCAAAATGAGAGAGATCAACATAGATAGATAGATAGATAGTGAAAGAGAGAGGCAAAGACAGATAAAGCTGAAACAACAGAAAGAGAGAGAGATACTGTAACTGCTGTAATGGTCATGCCAATAAAGCTCGTTGAATTAAATAGAGAGATGGAGAGAGAGACAGAGAGATGAAGAGAAATAGAAAGAGAGACTTAGTGTCGTTTGTTATACAGAGTGAGTCAGAGAGCACTCCTGCTAACGCAAAGCTCTCGCTCTGTCGCTTTCTCACCCACGCGCTCTTCTTCCATCTTCCTGCCTGGGTTTATTTGTCATCTGTCTCTCTCTCTCTCTCTCTCTCTATACATCTCTCTCTCTCTCTCACTCTCTTTCTGTCGAAACATAGCTCCAAGGTCACTCTCCCGTCTTGTCAGTCACGGCTCTTATATTGTGCAACATGCACCGTTTAAATCCGAAGCGCTGACATAAAACCTCATTAAACGCTCAGGGATATTTCCAAACATCAGTTCCTCCACCTGCGCTGAGACGGGGGAGGAGAGGCCACTCGGCAGCCGGGCGCCTGTCATTCGGGAGACACAATGAGATAATTGGCGCCCTGGACAGGAGACACACTGCGGGGACGACTTTAGCCTGACACATGTCTCGTTCCAGCTTTTGTACATGCCTGACACGGTGCAAACTAATTGCTCCATGTTTATCTCCAGGCAATTAAACCTCACAGTTATGATCTAATTACTGCCTGTCTTCGGTTTCTCATAAGGGCCAGCGCTCGTTTTGTGTTTTTTTTTTATTATTATTTTTAACTATTATTATTATTAATATTATTCTGCATGCTATTGGCCTGGAAGCCGTTCATGTCTTCTCTGTGTGCTGTGATAATTGCAGGCTGCCAGGAAGTCCGAGTCAACTAATTATTCGGGTCAGTGCTGTGACCCAGGGGTCTCGTCTGTTCACACATCTGTGCATGCCCGAGATCTCCTGTCCTTATTGTCACCACCTCGTCTTCGTGGCTAATTTGGTCAAGGTTCACTCGGTAGGACGCAACCCGATTCTGTAATCTGCTCAACTCAAATCGAGCCGATTTCTAGCTTATTTTCAGAGTATAGTTTAACTGCAATCACAAAACCACACTTGTGTTTGTATGCTATGATACTTATTTTACACCACAATTTGAATTGATGCACAATCCTGCATACTCCTGGTGGAGTTCTGACCAATCTCTCACCCTTCCATTCACTCCTGAAGAAAGTCAGACCATTCCCACCCACTCCCGAAGCAATTCTGACCAGCCCCACCCACACCTGATGGAATTCTGACCAATCCCACCCACTCACGAAGCAAGTTTGGCCAATCCCATCCATGCCTGAGGGAATTCTGACCAATCCCACCCACTCACGAAGCAAGTTTGGCCAATCCCATCCATGCATGAGGGAATTCTGACCAATCCCACCCACTCACGAAGCAAGTTTGGCCAATCCCATCCATGCCTGAGGGAATTCTGACCAATCCCACCCACTCACGAAGCAAGTTTGGCCAATCCCATCTATGCCTGAGGGAATTCTGACCAATCCCACCCACTCACGAAGCAAGTTTGGCCAATCCCATCCATGCCTGAGGGAATTCTGACCAATCCCACCCACTC